CCAGTGAGTCTACCTGCTTTACTTTTTAAAATTTAATACAATTTTTTCTAATTTATTTATGAACTATTCGAATACTTTTTGGCATGTTAGTCCTTTCAGGGTTAAGTTAGTCCTTCTTAGGGTTTAGCTTTTAATATATTTAGGGTTAATGTTTTAGTAGTGGTGACGGAAGTGCCGATACGGGTGACAACAGCTGTGGCGGTAGTAATTTGAGTGGCGTCAATCTAGTGTTTTAGCACTAGAAAAATTCATCTACTATAGTAGAAAAATTTGCAAATTTATTATCTTGTAAATCTAATTTAGTATTATTGCATGTGTAAAATATGTATCTAGCGATCTTCTAGAGATGGCCATGGTTGAGCCTGGTGAGTCAGCGTTTTTTTGTTTTACATGTACTTTCAATCAAATCGCATTTTTCTATTATTAGGAATTAAGGATATAACAAGCTTTTATCAGACAAGCAGTAAATGTTGTACTACGTATGAAAGAATACATTAATGTTTGTTCCTCATTTCATGCTTGTTTGATTACCAAGAGCTAGCCATGGATCCGGTTTAGGAATTAGGATGTTTTTACTTGGACTGTAATCCGTCCCAGACCAGTTCAGACCATAACAGACCAGACTTGGATAGTTATTAAAATACAAAGAGACCAGACATTACCAGTCCAGACCAGACCAGCAAATCATAGTCCAAGTAAAAACATCCTCAGCCAATTATGTACCTGTGAACCTGAACCATCCTTCGGGGTGGAATCGGGATCGGGTTGGAGGGATGTATGGGAATGGTTCTGGTTATGACATATGAGGAGAGAACTAGCCGGTGTGGTTCCATTTCTATATGTGCAGTTCGTATCATGGCTCTTATGGTAAGACAGGACTGGTTAAAATCAATGTAGAGGGCGTCATTGTTTTAGGAGCTTGTTTTGCGGCAGCGTCGTCGTTGGTTGCAGCGCTTCAGTTTGTGGTGTCCTCTTTGTGTTTTAGTCTTTGAAGAATGCCTCATCTCCTTATACACTAGGTGGATCTTCAGGTGGAAGTGATTTTGACCTAAAAGGTACTATAAGTGAGGATGAGGTCCATTTTCGAGCACATTATTATTTGCTAGCCACAAGATTTCTACAAGCTCATGCATTTTTTTGTCTTCAATATGTTGACCTGCAGATCATGCAGTTTTGTCAGAGCTTTATGAATGAATTAAAGACTCCTTATCCTTTTCAAGAATTTTGAATGAGTTTTTACGGAATGTTGCCCTGGTTATTTGTTTCTTATTTATTATGTAGGGCTTTCTCACGGAAGAAATGGGTGTGGGAAAAAGCAAAATGGGCTTTCTATATGGTCAATATCATAAGCTGGCATTGCCTATAACAGGTTAAAAAATGCTTTATTTGCTGCAATTGTAATTTGATGTAATTCTTGTTACAAATGCTTTATTTGCTGCAATTGTAATTTGATGTAATTCTTGTTACATACTCCGTAATACGTAGTATGTTGTATATGTATATCCAAGGGTAATTACATTTAATTCCCCTGACGACGACAACAAATTATAAAATTTTCCTTCAAATTCATATACATTACAGACCCTTTCAGCAGCCAATTTTTTCGCAAATTACATTATGGAAAATCAGTGTTATTTATAGAATATTTGTCTGGTCTAGGGATGTGTTTGTAATCTCCAGAAACCTCATGGGTTATTTGATAAATTGTCCAAATCCCAAGCGAGGTAGATGTAATTAACTCTTGTTCATGTATTAGATTCAGATTGAGTTTTGTACTTTTAGTAAGTTAACGAATTGTCCGAGGGAACCATATTAAGGTAGTGTTTGCAAGAGCTTCTACTTCAGAAAATTAATTTTTTTATAGTGATTATGGAAAAAGTGCTCAATAGAAAAAGTTTATAGTGTTTTAGAATAGAAGTGATTAAAGTGGAAGAGTTAAAAGTGAGTGTTTGGTAAAAATGTGATTTTTAATGTAATATTTTATTGAAGTACCAAAATACCTTTGAAATATTATACGGACTATTTATGTATGCCCCTTGGTCAATTGGCCACACTTTTTTCTTAATATATATACTAGTGTAAAGCCCGGGGCATTGCCCCGGGCACATCAATTTGATATAAGTTAAAAAGAAAAATACTAATAGATGTTGTCAATTATTCACATGATCCAAAGTTGATTACATTCAATTTTTATTACCTAAAATCACAACCAGTTATGAATTTATATCCATTAAATGACTATTAAATTATGCATCATCATATATTATATATTTACTCTTTAGTTCATATCAAGGTTTTAAAATGTGGTTGCGGTCACTGCGGCTATTGTGATGCTCTTACCGCCAACGTGGTGTGAATTAACTTTATGTTCAAATGAAAAGAGAACCACATTAAATTAGTGTTGATGTCTCGATACAGTCCGATGCTACTGTTTCGTGGTTGCGTAGTAGTTTTCTTCATGAATCAAAATCTCACCGCCAAGGCGGTTCGATGCGGTTGCACTGGCACTGGCAGCACTGCGGACCGCGACCACAATATTGCGGCTGTAAAACGTGTTGTTCGGAATTCGAAGTTGTGGTTCGTATTTCTTTTCCGTCTAGTTTTGTTAGTCAGCTCCTTCCATCCTACTTTGCAAGACATGCTTAATTTTTGTGTGCGAAAAAAATCCAAAATTTTTAAATTACCATTTCAATCACTTTTTTTAACTTGTGCCAAATTGAAATGTATCTTTCAATGGGAGGGAAGAAGTATGTGTTTTTGGAAAGTGCTTTCAGAGCAGCATAGATAAATTTCATTAATTATTAACTTTTTTGTACATTTAATTTTGTATTTTATGATGACTGGAGAACATTTGGAGTCTTGAGTTTAAGGTAGCAGATTTGATTAATTATATTAAATTGGAGTTTTCTTTAGGTGATGTTGCATATTTTGTCATTATTTTATTAATATAACTAATTTTAAAAATAATTGTTTCATAATTCAACACAATCAGCCAATTCTGACCAAACCAAACTTAAACATACCGAACCAGATTAAATCATACCAGGCCAGATTTTTTTTACAACAATTAATAACATCCTAAGAATCCTAAATATCAAACACCTTTTGATATATACTTAAGGTTACGTTTTTCAAAGAAAATTTTGTGATTTTATAGCAATCTACTCACTATTCTTGGTATAGTCTTCATGCTTACTATTCTTGGTACTCACTACTCACTATTTGGACTGTAATTTGCTGGTCTGGTCGTGTCTGATGTGGTTTTGGTCTGGTAATGTCTCGTCTTTTTGTATTTTTAAAACATCCTAATAGTGTGATACACCAAGTGAACTTCTTGTTTTACTATTGCCGAAAAAATTGCCTCTGGTTTTATTATTGCCGGAAAAATTGCCTCTCATTTTACTATTTCCTAGTGCTGGATTCGGTTTGGGCCACCCGGCCCGGGCCGCTACTATGCGGGCCCGGGACCGGCCCGGTCTGGCGGTCCGGGTTCGAGTGGATACCTGAACCGGGGGTGTAGGGCGGGCTCGGTTCTTACAAAAGGTGACCCGGCCCGGCCAGGTCGGGCCCGAGTCCAATGGTAGCATTTTTTCTAAAAAAAATCTTTTGGGCTCAAAAGAGCCGTTAGGCTGGGCTGGGACTTCCCAAACGGCTATATAGCCGTTGGGAGGGTGGTAGGGGGGTCCGGGCCAGTTGGGGGTGGGGTAAAAAAAACCCTATAAATACTCCTAATATTAAACATTTTTCCACATCTTCTCCAACTCTTCCTAAATCCTCTCTACTCTCTAATCATCTTCTTCATCTTCTCAAATTCTCTTATTCTCCAATATATTTTACATTTTTACTATTTAATACTTATACATATATTATATCAACTTTATATTAATTATCTACTTATAAATACATATATTATATTAGTTATATTTCTTATCTACTTATATATTAATTATCTACTTTTATTACAATTTATATTTACTTAATATACACTTTATATATTAAAGTATTAAATATACGTGTATTACTCATCTTATAGTAGTATACTTATATATTACGAACTATATACTATAAACATTATATTATATATTACTTATAAATTTATTATATCTACTAATATAGTTGGAATTATACCTAATTAATTCGAACTATATTAATTGGTATATTAATTATATATATATATATATATATATATATATATATATATATATATATATATATATATATATATATATATATATATATATATATATATATATATATATATATATATATATACGATTTTTGCTAATATATTACTTTTATAGTTTTATTACATCTAATTAATATATTAAGTGTACACACACACACACACACACACTTACATATATATTAGTTACACTTTAATTAATATTAGTTAATTTCATTCTATTACTCCCATTAATTAGTATACACTTTCATACATTTGTCTTATTTGTTTAATTTTGTATTAACATTACTTGATTAGTTAATTAGTATTCACATGAATTGTTTAATTTATCATTAAAGTAGTTAATTACTTCATTACAATTTTTTATTAATTGCTACCTTTGACTCTACTTTAAAATACTAGTTAGTTCTCATTATAGTTAAAGTTAAACTATAATAATTTGATTGTTAGTAAACAAAAATTAGGTAGTACAAAAAACTAGTTAATTGTTAGTTTTGAGTATTTATTAAACAATAGTATTGATTAGTTCAAATAACTAGGAAAAAAACTAGTTAATTCATTACTCAATTAATTTTTGCTATAAATTTTGTACTCACATTTTATTAATATTCGCATTTTAGTTCAATTCACATTTTAATTAAAGTACTTCACATTTCACTCGAATTGTTTTTATCAATAAATAATAGTTAGAATTTTATTTGATTAAAGTAAACTTGTTAGATTGAAGTATTATTTAAAATAGTTTTAATTACTTGCATTACTTGTGTACTCATTATTAATATATTTGTTGCAATTTAATATTTGTTACATTTTTTAGATGGAACGTGGTAGATATTCGGTTGATATGGGTAACCTCGAGCGCAACCGAACGAACGAGATTGGGAGGAAGAAATCCCGCAAAGGTAAATCACATATCGGCTCTTCATCTCAAAGTCGAGATGATATTGATAGGGGTTACCAAAGGAGGGATGGAGATGCGATGTCTGACATGCAACTACAACAAGAATTGGACCGGCATAAAAACCGCTTTTTCCAAGATGAACAATACCCGACGACCATTGACGAAGAAGAGCTCGAGGACGACGATGTGGAGGAGATGGCCGCGGAGGAGGGTGGCGGCAGCCACGACGCCGACGAGCCTGCCTCATCCTAAACCGGTAAGAAAAAAAGTAAATCTGAACCAATGGAAAATAATTTTGATAAGTGGAAGGACCCGAACACCGAGAATTGGAACGCAACTTGCAAGTGGTGCAAGAAAAAATATAGCTTGGGAATTTCCAGCGGATACGAATCCGCCTCAAGGCATCTTAAGGTCAAACACCCGGTGGAGTATGCAAAATTAGGCGGCGGAACGAGTAAGCAAACTCAAATTTCGAGGTTTGTAAATAACTAACAACCTTTTGGTAATTTCCAATACAATGATACACAAAATTTGACTGGTATGGCTAACTTACTTGTTGAAGAAAATTTGCCTTATTTGTTTTCTGAAAGTCTTGCTTTGAAAGATTATGCACAAAATTGTTTAAATCCTCAATATAGAGGTTATAGTCACAAAACGGTTAAGAAGGAAATTATAAGGCTTTATAAAGCGGAAAATGTAAGGTTACAATTTTTTTTTGCAAACTTTGATGGGCGTGTTACTATTTGTTCTCACATATGGGAGGATAATTATCATAATTTACATTATTTGGGTCTGACTGCACATTATATTGATAATGATTGGAATATGCATAAATGTGTTCTTGCTTTTCGTGAATTTAATGATCGTCACACCACCGAACATATTTATATTTTGATTGAACGTATTTTAATTGAGTATAATTTGAATGATAAGGTGTTTGCTATTGGTTTTGATAATGCTACTAATAATACTGCTGCTATACCTAGATTGTGTGAATTATGTGATTCTACTACTTTGATGGGTAGATTTTTTCATCAACGATGTGCATGTCATGTTATAAATTTATGTGTGCAAGACGGTCTAAAAGCGTTAGGAGATTCTTTGGAGGTGGTCAAGGGGGGATTATTAGACGTATTTGGGGTAGTGGTCAACTTCAATTAAAATGGAAAAAATATGTGATAGAAAGAGGTGAGAAATATGTGACTTTTCCTAAAGATTTGTCTATTCGTTGGAATAGTACTTATAAGTTAATTAGAGTTCTTCTTAGATATAAAAAACATTTTCCTGCTTTTTTAAAAGAATATGATAATTATATTATGAAAAGCATAATATAGTTATCATGCTTTTCATTTGAATTTCTTGGCCGGACAGGGCTCCTGTCCGGAATTTCCACGTTACACGTTAATTGTAGAAATTAACGTTAAGATGTGATTTTTCACGGAAATTTACACGTGAAAAATGTGATTATACACGTTAAGATATCTTCTCATTTGAACTCATCCATATATATATATATATATATATATATATATATATATATATTTGAAAAAGATTAATTTTTCTCTTGATAAAAAAGCGGATATTGATAACAATACTCAAAGTACTCCAATTTTCACTTATAATTATCAATTAATTGATAGAATGGAAGAGATTGTGAAAATTGAGCAAATTTTTAAAAACCAAGAAGATCCTTTTGCATTTATATATATATATATATATATATATATATATATATATATATATATATATATATATATATATATATATATATATATATAAAACGGCCCAAATTTTTAAAAAAATATTTAAGTGACTTCCCAATTAAATGTTAATCTGAATTTGGTAGATATAAAATATACTTTATGAAGAACATTCTCATAAAATTTCATCAAAAAATTCATCCCGGAAGCCTCTCAACTGAAAGAGGCCTAAAAATTTAACTTTTAGGCCTACCTTACATAAATATTTTCCTATATACGGAGTATATATATATATATATATATATATATATATATATATATATATATATATATATTATAACACACACACACAAATATTCCTAACATGTATACCTGACAGGATCGTCACGAGGTGGTTCCTGGTGATATTTTTTGCTCAAATGTTTTGAGGATGTTCCTCATGAAGTGCAGATGATCTCCACTAAATTTGAGCAAAAAATCATTCGGGAAGGTAGTCAAATGATTTTTGAAGATAACTGCATTTTATATGTATATTTTAGCGTAATTATCTTCCAAAAATCAATTGACTGCCTTCCAGATTTTCAAATCTAAACAATTTCTTTCGTTCTCCTATTGCCATGTTTAATCATTCAGATATACTACGTACAACATTAAATGATCACTCGAAGGAACCTCAAGGGAGGATGCTTCGTAATCCACTAATCCCCATAGATAGTCATCCACTCTTCATTTGCCAGGATTCGATCGAGTTTTTCCTCAATCCAGTTTGATGTACCTCTTCCTCTCCCCCACTTCCACTGGTCTCTGTTTTAAATAGAAATAAAGTATTCTAGGAATATGAATGATATGGGAATCAAGCAAAAATAGAATCGAGTATGGTGTATTTGATAAAGAAATATGGATTAATAAATAATTATATAATGATCTTGAATAGTTCGATTAGTGAGCTTTAATACAGAAGAATGGGGTATTCTATAGTGCGTAGGATAGGATTAAATCTGTATAAATAATATGCTAACTATTGCTTTCTTCTAATACTATTAAATAATAGGCTATAAAGTTTGAGTGGAGTCTTCAGTATCAAAATAAGAGCATATCTCCCCTTCGTAAAGCTAGCTGGCTTTATATATCTGACACACCCATGACTTCCAAGTGCACGTTCACCAAATTAGGCATAGTAAGCTCCTTCTCCCCCGGATTCGGTAATTAGTTGTTAGACTTTATCTACTACTGCATTATTCCTCCACTAGGCGAAAGAATAGGGACTTCCTTCCCAAGAATAGCAACCAAACTCCTGTTTTTCCTCCACTTGCAGTCTCTTGACTTCTTCATAGCCTTCTTTTGTATTTATCCTCCTTTTAAATACTCCCTCCGTCCCAAATTGTTTTGCAAAGTCAACATAAAAGTCAAACCTTCTTATTGATAGTTAATTCAATTTTTAATAATTAAAATTTACATATTCTTAAACTACATTAAAATGTCTTCAAAGGTGTAAACTCCAAATTGGAATATAATTAAAAATTAACATCCTAATTAAACGAATAAAACGAATTTGTTTGACCAAGAAAAGTCAAAGTTGCAACTCAATTTGGGACGGAGGTAGTATCAGCCAAAGCACGTTGGAGGGCTTCGGTCAGTTAGTGGGCCTCCTGGATCCCTTCCTATTGCTTCACCCGATGGCCCATATAAATGTATTTTTTCTGGGCCCAACAGTATCCTGTCAAAAGGAATATATATAAGCCCAGTGCTGTCGACTGCATCACGGAACCCCGTAACAACCATGGGGGTTGTGGCAGTCAACCTCTTCGTTCTGAATCTAACAGCATATCGTTGAAATCTCCTAGCATGATCCAGGGCTTATCCGACAAAGTAGCAAGATGTTTTATAAGATTCCAGGAGTCTCTCCTCCTACCTCTTTCTGGAAAACCATAATAGCTGGTGAATCGCCATTTCTGGTCATCGGGTTTCAACTGTATTTCAGTGTCAATATAGTTGCCCCTTAATTTCCACCTCTATACTGCTTCTCCACATTAGGCACACCCCCCGCTCAACCCCTGGTTGTCCACCGAAAAATGGTACCGAGAGTCGTTCGATTTTGTCTCCATCAAAAAAAGGATCCATATATAGTTTCTTGGATTGTATTAGATCAACAAGGATTTGCACTGTCGCTAGATTTCCGAGGCCCAGGCAATTCCAGCTTACGACTGACATCTCCCTGGATCGTCTTCTCGTTCGAATTCACCCATGCGTTCAGAATCTTCTGGATCAAAATAACAGACCCTTCTGTTGAAACGACAAAGTTCCCTGCTCTTATTCCATTCAAGCTTGCCTCTGCGTTCAAAACTTCCAGATCAAAATTGCGAGCCCAATAGATGCAGATCCTCCTGCGCTCGGTTCTACGTCCCCTGCTTAATCCCACCGGCCACAACCAAGTCAAATGCTTCAGAAAACTGTTCAAGACTAAACCGGGCGTATGTCGGAGGCGCCGCCGTCGACCCAAAAAACCCTAGCGAAACACGCTAGGTCCGTCCGCCTTAAGCCATGTTGGCACTTCTAAAATAGATGTCTCGTATTCAAATATGGAATGTCCAAGTAATAAAGTGTTATTATGTGAAGTAATCGCATTTAGAAATAGAGATATAATACTTGAGGCACATATGCCTCGTTAAAATAAGAAAGTGTCACATGAAATAGTAGGATTAAGATGGAAGAGAGATAATGCGCTTATTGACTTATGAGTTATTAGCATCTATAAATTTTTATTTCATAATAATCAGATTCATAACATTTCTAAAAGTCATATTGTGCTAAGAAAAAGTGGTTGAAAGATGTATTTTTAGTTAGGAATATTGAAACATTTGTGTCGAATAAATGGTTTCTAGTTTGACTTGGATCGGAGTTTAACAAAAGGAGAATAAAACAGAAATGTATGATTGTGATTGAGTAAGAAAAAAGTAAATGAATGTTAGTCACACAAAACTTTCCAAAAAGAAAAATGAGAACAATTTTTGGGATGACCCAAAAAGAAAAGTGAGAACAATTTTGTGGGACGGGTGGAGTACTATTAGTAGCGGTGAGAAAGTATGCATCACTGTTGTTGGGATATTGGGTCCAGGCCCAATATCCCTAGGCCCAAACCCAGGAAGGAGCAGCAGGCCCAAGGCAGTCCTTATCCCGAACGGCATTCGGGATAAAACTTATACTTGGAACATTTCGGGAAACAATTATGCCAAAGTAACAAGGGCCAGATACCGATCGGCGTTCGGGATACTTCCATTACAAGATAACACCTATTGCGGGGTCCCACACACCGAACACCTTGCCCGAACGGGCGGTCAGCAAGTGGAGGCCGCATTTAATACTGGATCATGGCGGCTGCAAGTGGGGGCATGAGTGCTTACATGGCAGAGGTGACAGCCTACCAGATTCGGCCACGTGTCCACCTTACCCATCCCCATTTTAGTATAAATATCCATGTTTAGATCATTGTAAAGGGTTAGCATTTTAATACTCAGAGCTTAGCAATAGATTTATATCTCCTATCCTTGTATTCTCATTATCATCTACCGTTCGGGTAGTTTCCGGTGTAATTGCCTAATCATTGAATACCAGTAAGCTCCTGAGTTGAATAATATATCACTGTTTTATATTTTATACACTTTTCAGTCCAATCCAATATCCCTACAATATCCAAATCTTGTGTTGGGCTTTCGGATCTTCGGGAACAAACCTCAACATTGGCGCCGTCTGTGGGAAACTTCACTAAAAGTCCAGGCAAAACCGTTGATCTAAGCACCATTTTTTCTTGAAATGGCTAGACTTACTACCGCGACACCGAGTTCTACATCCAGGGGCCGAGGAGGCAATAGACCCTCTGAAGGGCGGTCCATGCAGGGACACGCTAGTGGCAGTGCCACCCGGGAGTTCGAGCAAATCATCCCCCGGGATGTAAGGATGAACCCCCAGTTGATGAGGGAGATAGCAGAAGCCATGCAACGCATGGCGGATGAACAGGAACAGGGCTACACCGATGAAACTCGTGAGCCGCCGTCCCCGGTACATCCCATGCCATCATTCGACGAAGAGGAAGACTTTGAGACCACAACAGCCTCAGTTCATTCCGAGGAACACCGCAGGAACCACTGGAGGGCCCATACCCCCAGGCGTAGAGGAGCACCAACCAGCCGAACCCCGTCCGCACCTCAGAACGGATATAGGGAGCCTACCCCCATGGTAGACCCCGTTGGACAAAACTTCCAGTATATCCAGAGCGATGGGGAACGCTTCATCCGAAGGAGAGCTAACACGGCTGCCCCTCCCCAAAACAGAATGCTGGAATATGTGGACGCTAGGATACCACATATTCCCCGAACGGCCCAAGACGACGAAATAGCCGAAATGAGAAGACAAATGACCGAGCTCAGAGAGCAGGTCAATCGGACGCCCCAACAAACCCCGCCACCACGGGTTGGGATTACATCTCCCTTTATCAGGGAAATCATGAATGTCGAGATCCTGAGGGACTGCCGTCCCTCGACCGGCTTAACGTACGATGGGGTGGGAGATCCCGACGTACACCTGAGAAGTTACCAGGGTGGCCTCATGCTATTGGGGGCCACCGACGCGGCAATATGCAGGCTGTTCTTCAGCACCCTTCGGGGACCAGCCCAGGAATGGTTCGGAACATTACAACCCGGATCGATCGGAAGCTTTGCGGAGCTATCCACCTTATTCTTAGCCCAGTTCGCCTCCAGCACAACCCCGAAACTACATTTCGGGTATCTGACCAGTGTGAGGCAAGGACCTAAGGAATCAATCTCCGGGTTCCTGACCAGGTGGAGGACCGAAACCCTGAAGGTGACCGGCATGACAGATGAGACTACCATCCTTCTTTTCACCGATGCCCTTCGGACGGGGGATTTATACAGGGAGCTGAAGAGAAATCCGGGAACCAGCTACCCAGACATCCTGGAAAGGGCCAGGGGTCATGCGGCCCTGGAGGAGGAGATCAAGATAAGGGACCAAACGGCCCCACAGCCTCCCACTTCAAGGTTGGCAGAACGTTTGGGGCCCGCACCGGCAGCTGCAGTACCTCATCGAAGGACTGCGTGCTTCACCCCCCTGGTCATGTCTATAGCCGGTGTTTTTCATTTGGAACACAATGCCATTCCTCCCCCTACTGACACAAGGCCCGTGATGGGACCTACCCCGAATGCCTACTGCAGGTACCACCAACGGAATGGACACTTCACAAAGGATTGTCACGCCCTACATGTGGCAATTGAGGACCTGATCCAAAAGGGCTACCTGAGAAAGTATGTCAGCACCAACCTGAACGGCCCTTCCCCCAACCAACGTCCTCCCCGATCCAATAGCTGGAAGCGGGATATCCAGCGAGATGCAGAGCCAAGTAATGATTCATACCGCCCCCCTATAGAGGAGGCTGAAGGGTCCGGGAATCCGGGGAAAAAACCAAGGATGGAGGTCAAAGTCATCTTTGGTGGAGGAGAGACTGGGGATACGGCCGCCGAACGTAAGAAATTTGAACGCAGCCTCTATGTCGCCACCGTGGTTGCACCTCCCACAAAGAAGGGCCGCTTGGAGCCAACTACGTTCGGGGTGGCTGACCTGCCCAACTCACCAAGTCCGCACAGGGACGAGCTAGTGGTGAGTATGTGTATAGACAACGCCTTGATCCACCGAGTTCTGGTGGACACGGGGAGCAGTGTGAACGTGTTGTACTTACGCACGTTGGAAAAAATGAAGATAAAGAAAGATCAGCTGACCAAGCTGAAGACACCGCTGGCTAGTTTCACCGGCAATGTAATAGAGGCTGAGGGCACCATCCAGCTTCTGGTGGAAATTGGTGATGAAACGCACCGGGCAGCAGTCCGGATGACGTTTGTGGTGGTAGACATTGCATGTGCACACAACGCCATATTGGGCCGTCCAGGGTTAGAAGATTTGGAGGCAATTGCTTCCGTTCGACACTCATGCATCAAGTTCCCAACTGACACTGGAGTAGGAGTGGCCCGAACAGATCCTGCCATAGCCCGAACATGCTACAGGGAGGCATTGAAACAAATGACCACCCGGGGACAGCGGGTAAACAGCATTGAGGTGCAGACCCGGCGTACGGAGTTTGAGGGACGCCCCGAGCCAGCCACCCTCCTAGAGTACATCGAGCTTGATTCCCCTCCCGATCGTAAAATAGCGATCAGGGTGGATCTTGAAGGGGAAATCCGGGAAGGGGTGATCGCTGTCTTGATGAAATTCCAAGTCCTATTTGCCCGAGGACCCGAAGATATGTCGGGAATTGATCCGGCCCTCATATGTCACAAGTTTACCGTTCGGCCTGATGCCAGGCCAGTCCAACAAAAGAAAAGATATCAGGCGGCCGAACGGCGGGAATTCACAAAGCAGGAGGTAGCCACCTTACTGAGAATCAGGCACATTAGACCAGTCATCCATGTCGAATGGTTGGCTAATGTGGTCCTTGCTCCAAAAGGATCTACTTGGAGAATGTGTGTGGACTACTCCGATCTGAACAAAGCCTGCCCCATGGACCCCTATCCTGTCCCACGAATAGACCTGCTGGTGGACGAAACAGCCGGGTGTGAACTGCTGAGCTTTATGGATGCCTTCCGGGGTTATCACCAAGTCTTCATGCACCCAGATGATGCAGAAAAAACTGCGTTCGTCACCTCGGACGGCGTGTTCTGCTATATCGTCATGCCGTTCGGGTTGAAGAACGCCATGGCTACCTTCCAGAGAATGATCGGCATGCTTTTTAAAGAGGTGCTAGGAGTAACCATGGAAGCATATGTGGATGACATCCTAATCAAGAGCAGGAAGAAGGATGATCATGTACGGGACATGGAAAGGGTCTTCGGGATCATGCAGAAGGCCAACATGAGACTGAACCCAAAAAAGTGCGCCTTCGCAGTCAAGGGGGGCAAATTTTTGGGTTATATGATGAGCGAGCGAGGAATTGAGCCTAATCCTGAGAAGGTAAAGGCAATCATGGACATGGAGGCACCGCGGAACTTGAAAGAAGTTCAGAAGCTGACCGGAAGATTAGCGGCCTTAAGTAGATTTATGGCTAAACTAGCCGATCGTGCCATCCCATTCTTCCAAATAATGAAGAAGGCCAACCCGTTCGAGTGGACAGCAGAATGTCAGGCAGCTTTTGAGGAGTTCAAGTTGTACCTGTCTTCCCCCCTGGTCTTGACTAAAGCGGACCCAGGGGAACATCTCTATATGTATCTGGCTGTGGCTGATCTGGCGGTCAGCTCTGTTTTGTTGAAGGAAGATGAAGGCGTTCAGCGCCCTATTTACTTTGTAAGTAAGGCCCTGAACGGGCCAGAAACCAGGTACACCTTAATAGAAAAGACCATCTTAGCATTGATTGCTACCGTCAAGCGACTGGCTCCCTATTTCCAGGCACACCCAGTCACCATCTACACTACCCAGCCCCTGGCCACCATACTGAGAAATCCTATGGCAAGTGGGCGTATCACCAAGTGGTCCCTCCTGATCGGGCAGTATGAAATAGACTTCAAGCCCCGCCCCACGATCAAGGGACAGGCTTTGGCTGACTTCATTGCCGAATGCACTGCCAGATCAAATGAAGAAGGAGCGGGCGGAGAAGTACATGACCATTGGTGGGAAATGTATGTGGATGGAGCGTCCAGTAACAAAGGCTGTGGTGGGGGTGCTGTGATTACATGCCCCGAGGGGTTCAAGGCATACTACTCCGTACAATTTGAATTTAAGGTAACCAATAATGAAGCCGAGTATGAAGCCCTTATTGTTGGGTTAAAGTATGCCAAGGCCCTGGGGGCCAGCAGGTTAAAAGTTCGTTCAGATAGTCAGCTGGTGGTAAGCCAGATTAATGGATCCGCCGAAGTTAGGGAGGAACGGCTAAAAGCCTACAAGGAACTGGTTGAGGAAGAAATCGGCAGATTTGAACAGGTAATACTTGACCAGATTCCCAGAATCAAAAACAGCGAGGCGGATATCCTATCCAAGCTAGAATGTGCCGTTCGGGACGATCATGCCCCGAGCATCCCTGCACACATCCAGAGGTTCGCACAAAGAGAAGTACTGACTACACCGGCAACAATGATCCTGCGGGTAAATGTCGTATCCTATGTCGTCCCAAGCTGGGTCACTGACTTGACAAATTACCTGAAGGATGGGACTTTGCCGAATGATAAAAATGACGTGTACAATCTCACTTGTATACAGCGAAGGGCCCCAATGTTCGAACTAGTGGACGGACAACTGTACAAAAAGACGTTCGGGGGGCCATATCTGAAATGCCTTCCCCCCGTTCAGGCAGCTACTGTGATGGAAGAAATTCATGAAGGCATCTGCTCCAGTCATCAGGGACCAAAGACCCTGGCCAGGAAAATCATCCTGCAGGGGTACTATTGGCCAACTATTCAGCAGGATTGTTTCGAGCACACAAGGAAGTGCAAGGTATGCCAGCTCTACGCACCAGTACCCGAGCGGCCTGCAACCTTTTACACCCCGATGACCATATCATTACCATTCGCTGGGTGGGGGATTGACTTGCTAGGGCCCCTACCTAATGCGTCCGGAGCAA